GCTCTTTCGACGTACCTGCAACCTGAACTTTTGATCACGCTGTCTAATTTGCTCTGTTTGATTCCATGGTTCTTCATGCTACCACCCCCAAACCTTTCCTTGCAGCTGTGCCGCGCTGACGTTTGACACCGCCGTTCTTGTGAGCTGCAGATGTGCACAAACCTTTGTTAAACAAAACTTTTCCACGGACTCTGCCAATTTTCCGTTCCATCGCCATTTTTCCTGGGAATTGAGCTAACTGCAAACCAATGTGTTTTTTGTATTTTATATATATATATATATATACATGCAACAACCTGAGAAGAAGCAAAACGAAAACCAGCGTTTTTACTTTCGAGTGTGCTTTCTCAGGCCACCCCCCCGAATGCCCCTTCTTACTCAGCTGGCATAGGTATAGATACCCAGGGTAACTACAATTCAGTTACCAGGTATAGTACTTCAAGTCCCCTTTCCGTCAACCGCTCGATAACCTTTACACGTATAGCAACATGGCATTTATGCGGACCCAGGGTAGCTACAATTCTGTTTCCAGGTATCCCACTTCAATTTCCCTACCCTGGGTCCGCGCGCGCGCGCCTTGCTGGCACCCGGCTGCCCGCGCGCGCGGACCCAGGGCAGGTACAAGGCAGTTGCCAGGTATACCCAGGGTAGCTACAATTCAGTTGCCAAGTATAGCACTGCAACCAACCGAAGACACTTGCATTTCTTAAAAGCACAAAAAAGCACCTCCAAACCTTGCTTCCGTGCACCAGTACACACCACCTACTTTCCAGTGTGCTTTCTCAGGCCACCCCCCCGAACCCCCCTTCCTACTCAGCTGGCGCCTTGCCAGGTATAGATGCACAGGGTAGCTACAATTCAGTTGCCAGGTAAAGTACTTCCAGTTCCCTTTCCGTCAACCGCTCGATAACCTTTACACATGCACAGCAAACCACAGCTTTGAAGTCTCATTCGTGCTTTGAACTTATAGCTTTGAACTTATATGTGTGTAAGAGGTATAGCAACATAGCATTTATACGGACCCAGGGTAGCTACAATTCTGTTACCAGGTATCCCTGGGTCCGCGCGCGCGCGCCTTGCTGGCTCCCGGCTGCCCGTGATTTAGGCGCGCGCGCGTACCCAGGGCAGCTACACATCAGTTGCCAGGTATACCCTGAGTTGCGCGGATCCAGGGTAGGGAAATTGAAGTGGGATACTTGGAAACAGATAGCTACCCTGGGTCCGTATACAGTAAATGCTATGTTGCTATACCTCTTACACACCTATATATAAGTTCAGTGCGAGAATGAGACTTCAAAGCTGCGGATTGCTGTACGTGTGTAAAGGTTCTCGAGCGGTTGATGGAAAGGGCACTTGAAATACTATACCTGGTAACTGCACTATAGCTACCCTGGGTATCTATACCTGGCAAGGTGCCAACTACACCTTACCATTCAGATGATGCAAATGATGCAAATTGCATTTCTGCATCACCACCCCTCAAAAATCACCTCCAACACAACCTCAAAAAACCTTCCATCCGTCCACCCTCCTCCCCCAGCATGTGCCGAGTTTACGTGTACCTTTTGCGGGCCGCCCCCCCAGACCCCCTAACTACTCACTTCGTTCGCCAAGCACAACTCAGCTGGCGCCTTCTACGAAGGCTGGCTTTCGTTATCATGGAAGTGGACCCTGGGAAAATAAGACAATTTTCCTCTACAAACAGGAAATTTTCCACTTCCATGTTTGTTGCAGGGGTGGTGATGCAGAACTTCTTGCTGCACGCTGGCGTTGCACGCTGGCGTTGCACTCATTAGATTCGTT